TAAGTCCAAATGATGAATTTGAATAAAAATAGAGAGGTGCATTTATTCCATTTCATGATGCAGAGTTTCCATTTTAACCAATGATGAAGTTTCATTTAAATCCAGTAATTGGTTTGGGTAATGTAACTGGAAAGTGAAATTTAAAATTTTCAGACATTTTATGATTATTATTTCATTATTATTCTACAGATGTTTCTTAAATGCAGTGTGGTATGTTGAAGCTTCAGAGACCACACAGTAATATCAGTTTTTCCACCTGTCTACCATTTCTGTTTTAAATGTAATCTCAAAATCCAGCTTGTTGTAGAAAAATTGCTGGCCTAGTAGATAAAATCCCTGTACAGGGAACTGCAATGAATGTGTTAAAAGTATACTGGGGTTGGCTATAATAATGGAAACACTATAGATAGTAAACATGTTCCTTTATCAACATGGTTCTGGACCACCTTTTTCCTTCAGTACAAGGTGTCTGGATGAAAGGTATACAAAATAAAATAATTATATCTCAGAAAGCATTTATTATACACATTTATGGGTTACACCAGTGGTTCTCAAACTTTTTACCTCTAAGCCCCCCCTGAGAAGAGAAAATACTCTCAGGCCCCCCAGCCTGTTTTTTTTTTATCAAAATAGAAGTCATGGTATGTTTGACGTTTCATTCAGTTTATTTTGTGTTTTTCTACATACTATTTAGCAGTGTTCTTACTCAAAATTAAAGTATCACAATACTAGGCCTACAATAAAAACTAGTTTTAACACTTGCAATTAACCAAAATATGTATTGAAATTAAACGATATTTAACTAACACGTATTTAATTTTTTCTGTAAAGAAAATCAAACATTTAAATATCAAAGTTCAGTGTGATGGATGGGCCTGCTTTTGAGAACAAAGTTTATCAAAACGTGGTGTAATATCAGAAATGGCCACTCTGACTTTTTTAGCAATATTTAGCCTTGAACGATACTTTGACTTTATAGCTGCCAAAGCAGAAAAGCCTGTCTTGTATGACTAAGTTGTTGTGAAAGGAATCATGATCTTCAATGCCTTTTGGCTCATAGTTGGGAATTCTTTGCCAGTATGTATCCAGAACTCCAATAAAGACAATTCCTTAAATTTACTTTTTAATGAAGTATCACTAGTGAGATCAGTGAGTTGTTCTTGCTCATTTACATTCCGAGATGATGGCCCAGGAGCATTTTCGAATGGATTTTTAATCCAATTAAATTTATCAAAATCATTGCAAAAGTATTTTTCGAAATGAACTTTCAACATTATGAGATGATCAAGTAGGCAGCTTTTTATGTCCATTGGAAGCACTGGATTATCAGTGTCTTGTACCGTTGACACCAGAGTAGGGAACATGTCTAGTGTGTCACTTTCCATACTGTTTCTCCAGAGCTCTTATTTTCTCATGAATGCCTTCACTTTGTCATTTGTCATTGCCTCATTCCCTTGAAGTGAAGTGTTGAGGATATTTAGTTTCTCAAATATATCTATGAGGTAAGCCATTTTCAATAAAAAATCCTTGTTGCTGAAACTTGTCTGCCAGTGAATGATTTTCCCCATTTAAGAAAAACAGAACACCTCATGCCTCAGCTTAAATATTCTCTTTAATACCTTGCCTCTTGAAAGCCATTGAGCATCACTAAAAAACAACAGAGCAGTGTGTTCGGCGCCCATTTCCTCACACAGCATTTTAAAAAGTCTAGATTTCAGAGGATGCGGCTGCTGCCGAACTATCAACGCTGTCTCTGGCATACGCGTTTAATAATTGCCGGTAAAGAGAATAATTATTAGTTATTTTGAAATTCATGATAATTAAAGCCTGTACTCATCAAAAGTTTTTCTATATGTATTTTTATTTGTTGTTACTTTTCTAATTGATTTAGGGCAGTTTTAATTTTTATCTGTAGGAAAGTATGCTGCGCGCCCCACAGTTTGAGAACCACTGGGTTACACCATTACAAAGGGAAACTATCAAAAGTTTTTTTTTCTGGGTACATAACTTTCTCAAATTTCAATGTGGACTTCCTGGTGGCATGACAAATATCCAGACAATATTCAAACTTGTTCCACATTACTTGAAACATGTTTGGTATTACTGTAGCCGCAGCAACCTTTATGCAGGCTCTCAGGTGTTGAAGGTCGTTGATCTTAACCTGATAAGACAGTATTCTTCTTGTAACCCCACAAGAAAAAATCCAGTGGGGTTAAATTTTGTAATCTAGAAGGCTAAGCGATCGGTCCACCTGTGCTGCTCCATCTCAATGTTCAGGTGATTCCCAACATGGTAGGAGAAATGTGGCGCCGCTTCATCTTGTTGGAGGACAGTTTGAGATGGTAATTGGAGCAGCACATACAGCTCCAGCATGTCCAAGTACTAACATCCAGTCACAGTCTTTTCCAAAATAAAAACGGTCCAGTCAACTTGCTGTGCATTAAGCTGGCCCACATGTTCACTTTGGGGTGCCTCTCTCCAATTCACATGTGACACTTTAATTTTGACTGACCTAGTCAGAGTAGCACACTTGGTGGAGGAAATTGGGTGACACATCAGTTCTTTCTAGCATTTCCACAGCGAATTTTGTATGTGCTACTTGGTCACTTCATTTTAGTGCATGAATTATTTGAATCTTGTGCATTCTCAGGTGGTGTCTTTTGTGTAGCACATTGTACACTGTTGAACATGGACTTTGTTAACTGCAAGCTAGCAGCATGAATTGATTTGCACGGACTTCACTGGAATGCCTCTCTAATGCGATTGACATTTTCTTAAAAGGTCTGTGTCTTTCCAGGAGATTTTCCATGCAACAGACTACCTGTAGTCATTAGTTTGTTGTCCCAGAACCGAATTCTTTTCCATATAGGAGGTTGATGTCCATATTGGATACTAAAACGACACTGGACAGCAGTAAGAGATTGTAACTCTGCTAGCCATAACATGCATTGAACCTGTTCCTGTGGTGTCGACATCATTACTGAGCTCGCTGAAGGTCACCAGCTGGTGCATGCATGTAAGCTGGGCATGAAAAGAAAACTTCCAGAGTTTTCCTTTCTGATGACATAAACTGGATAGATGTATGACAAGTAGTTTCTGAGATATAAATTTTTTCATCCAGACACCCTGTACAGCCACAATCCTTTGATGGAATGAAGTATTACAAGTTTTGAACATTCTCTAGTGGAATTTTATACCATTCTTCTTGAAGAACATCTTCAAGTTGCTTTAGAGTCGTTGGAGATGGGAATCCGTTCCTAATTCTAGTCTCCAAAACTGACCAGAGTGGTTCAGTGATGTTCAATGTAATAATTGTACTGGCCAGGGAAGATGTTAAAAGTTCACCTTCATGCCTTTCAAACCATGACTCAACAGTTCCATCTGTGTGACTGGGGCCATTGTCATTTTGGAAAATTGCACCGTTGTTCTGGATCATGGGATACACCCTTGCAGTAATTCAGTCATGAAGGGTAATAATGGGACAGGCAGAATACTGTACCACAATATTGCTGCTGAAACCATCACAGAACACCCCCTGTGTTTCACTTTTGGAACCAGCCATTTTGGATTGTAGGCTTCCTTGGGTGTTCTCCAAATGCAAACTCTTTCTGATGTAAGGAACAGTGTGAAGGACAACTCATCTGACCATATCACGCGCGCATTTCCGGTTGTCTGATGTTTAGATTTTATGGTTGTGACACCATTGTTTATGCATCCGAGCATTACTTCCAGTAATCAGAGGTTTAGCAGTTGCAGGATTTGTGAAGCTCATGTTGGACAGTTGATTTATATATGATATAACCTTAGAAACTGTCACTCCCGATAAACCTAATAATGTGGCAGTTGTCACAAACGTTTCAGCTAAATGTTCACCAGCCTCTTTCGAAATCAGAAAAATGTGTACCTTTACACACTAAGACAATGTTCTGAATTAAAGTGAAATTTGGAAAATGACTTCCAGTATACAAGATGTGAGATTTTAATGATGCTTAAGATTCAAACTGGGGTCTTTGGGGATGCTGTTATAGCCTGGTAGGTGGGTACCAATGTTTTGGAGGAATGTAATTCCTACATATTCAGAGTAGTCTCCCTGATAATTGTGGCAGTACATTCCTCCAGGACACTGATCCCTGCTTACAGATTATTATAGTGTCATATCCCAGACCATAATGTGAACATTCAGTAGAGACCATTATTATCAGTGATGTCTGTAGTGAGAGGTCATGCACATTACTGGACACAACCAATGTGTTTCAAGGTTTAATGACAATCAATTCAGAGGTTAAAGGAGGACAATATATTAAGCAATAATCTCTGTCTAAAGGATCTCTGAGGGTAATTAATGCCTCTAGTAGGGAATCTAATGGAAGAAAAGTCCTGTGTATTCAACGAGATCTCTGGTAGGGCAATTTTCGTTCCCATTATATGTTGAAAGCAGAATGTAACTTTTCAATGATGTCATGATGCACCTTGCAAGATATTTTAGACGAATAATTCAGATACGTTAAAACCAATTTTGGAATGAATTTGCTATACAGCTGGAATAGACAAAGCAGTAATTCCCTCAAACAGCCTTCAGTGACATAAGACTTTCATGGCATCTCAACGTTGGACTGATCTGGTTAGAATTAGTGTGGAATCTCTGAAAGGCTCAGCAGCATATGTATAGTAATGGGAATGAAGGCATAGCTGGTGGGTCATCGATGCTCACATATTTTGTAGACAGCCCACAGATGGCAGTGAGGTTCTCAGCCTTATGAGCTGCCTGCCCCCCCTCCCCCCAGGCTCAAAGAAAAAGTGTAAAATTCAATCCACATTCACATCTTTCAATGGTTGTGGGATACAGTGAACTGCACCAGCAAAAGCGCAGAATATGGTTTCAATCTCCAATCCTGAGATGACAGAACCCGCCCAAGAAACTCTCTTAAAACCCCACCTGCAAAATGGCATGGTCCACATCATAGCACGGACACGTAGATTACACAAACAAAGATCGAGCATCATACTTAGCATCACCTGTTTATTGAGAAAACAGCTATACAAATGATTTTGATGACCTGGAGCAACATGTGTAAGTATGCTTAATAAAGAAGTACAATTCAATTCAAGGAAACTGTTTCCCTTCAACTTCTGCGTTGATCAATCCAAATAAAACTGGGCTATATAACAGCATACATATTCAAAGATATTTTCTTCTGTAACATTATAACTACAGTGTGAGTCTGACTCTTGGCATCTTACACCACAATGATACTATTTACAATGTTGCCACCTCTTCTCACTTGAGTTATCTGTAGCTAAGCCTTGGCTAGTGCACGTAGATCAGCAATACACTTGGCAAGAGATTCTTTCTCCTGCTGAGGCGAGATGGACTTAAGTACATTTTGTACAATCCATGCCACCATGTGTCTGTGTGCAATGCGCCGGTCAACATTCTGACGCTCAACCTGGTAGTCCAATCGCCGTTTCACCTGCAAATTGGGTCAAGAAACATCTATCTGTACACTAACTGAAAATACCTTCCCTACAGATATCCTGATCTTTATTGTTCTGAAATGCAAAAAACATTTAAGTTTTAAACCATATAATAACAATTTCTGAATTCTTTTGTTCTCACATGAAATCTCATTTTTGTTACTGCTGTTTCCAGATATTTTAATACTGAAATATTAAAATAAATATTTAAAGCAACGTTTTAAGCTTCCAGATGACCTGACACTTGCCCTTCCCAATATTTTGCCTCCATCATCACCTGGAATTCTTATATGTGTTATATGTGACATACTTCACTGTAGACAGTCATGAGTCTTTCTCTGTATGCTGCCTCAAGCTGCAGGGCAACATTCTCCCTTTTGGCGAGAAACAGGTCCTTCTGCCCTTCTGCACGCCACTGCTCCTTTTTCTCTTCCTCAATAGCTTCAGTGTAAGTTTCAATTTCATTCAAACGGCCTTGTTTCCATGACCTCTCAATCTCCTGCAAACAAGTCAAATACAAATGTGACATGGCACAGACTGAATATATAAATATAAGTGACCAGAAATGCATACATCACTTTCATTGTTTTGTTAAACCATTTTCTTTGTTTGCTACTTACTAATATTTATATCAGAAATAATAAATATCTTCCATCACATAAAATTTGAGGTTTTCACGCCAGTGACTATGAAGAAAGCTGTCTTCTGGGATGTGGCGCTGTGTAGATATTGTATTAACCGACGTTTTGGAGGAACGTATCGCCTCCATCTTCAGGGTAGATGAAAAAAGAAGAAAAATCGATGAGTGAGGAACCAGTGTGATGTCAGTACCTGCTCACACTGGTTCCTCGCTCATGGATTTTTCTCCTTTTTTCTTCTACCTTGAAGATGGAAGCGATACGTTCCTCCAAAACGTTGGTTAATAAACTATCTACATGGTGCCACATCCCAGAATATGGCTTTCTTCATCTTCCACAATTTTAGCTTTCTATTCCTACACTGCCTCCAGCTATGGCCCTTATACCTTCCTGGCCTATGCCAGCCTGTGTGGTAAAGACAATGGCCAGCACAAGGAGCAGTAGTCTAACATGCATTATGGGCGAGATGCTGTTCCTTGCATTCACAAACTCTACTTCATCAAATTAAGAAGATATTTTTAAAAATTTTAAAAAATGCTCAAGAACTGAAATCCTCACATCAATCTCCTTGTCAAGGTATGCTGCTAACTTGGGTCCCAGCTTCTTCACAGCAAATACAACCATAATAAATAGTGAGACACCAGTGTAGAATTCATGCTCCAGCACATAGATTTCCTTGCTAAGAAGGTATGTAGCAAGTCCCACACCAAAGGTGTATGAACCTACAAAAAAAAGTACATATTCAAAACCAGTACTTTACTGTCCATAAATAAGATGGTACATGAAAGAATTAACTTCATGGAGCTGAGCACTTCTTGAGAAGTTGCCAACTGTGCAGATACTCAAGAAATTTCCAGCATTTTATGGAACCCAAAGGCTCATTACTGCGTTCACAAGAGCCCTCCACTAGTCCCTATCCTGAGCCAGATCGATCCAGTCCATACCACCCCATCCTCTCTAAGATCCATTTTAATATTGTCCACCCACCTATATCTTGGTCTTCCTAGTGGTCTCTTTCCTTCTGGCTTTCCCACCAATATCCTATATGCATTCCTCTTCTCCCCCATTCCTGCGCATGCACTGCCCATCTCACCCTTCTCGACTTGATCATTCTAATTATATTTGGCAAAGAGCGAAAGTTATGAAGTGAAATATATTTGGAAATCATCTGACCTGTGACACCAGTTTTATTGTAGAAGAACTTAAACCATTCCTCTGGAATGAATCCATGTCGGACTTTATCTGGAAATTCAGCCCTCACTGGTCGAGGAAAATTCACTTCATCCCTCTCTCCGGAAGCTGCAGCAGTCTGACTGCAACGCACACCCAATAAGTGTCTGCTGTGCTGAACTGTAGCCAAAGAAATGATAGGCGATACTTTTATGTTATGACTCCATGCTATTATTACAAAAGAACTGAGTACTGTCTTACGATACACTGCAAACAGCTTTCTACGCTTTCCAGCTTTAAAGTTATGATAGGCGATACTTTTATGTTATGACTCCATGATATTATTACAAAAGAACTGAGTACTGTCTTACGATACACTGCAAACAGCTTTCTACGCTTTCCAGCTTTGAAGTTAAGTTTTCGGTTTCCTCAAATTATACTTCGGCTAAGAACTTGACTGTCCCCGTCTTCAGTTCATTGGTAGATGATTAAAATGAACGATGGTCAGAAAGCACTAAGATATAAATATGTGACAGTTAATAGCATATTTACTGTATATATGAAATTTACCAGAACGGAAAGCAAACCTCGACAACATTTTAACAGCAGACAATATTAACCTTCCCAAATATGGTGGAAGAGACTACGTAACTCGTCTGTTAGTTTGAATTTACGCTAATATGGATTTATGCTTTTTAATTACTGCAGTCTTAAGCAGGGTTGTAATGTACTGTATAATTATAATATATTAGCTCTACTTATTGTCAATAGCAAGCTTAATTAATAATTTTAAACCTTTAATTTGTCCATTCAGGTAATTTCCGTCGTAGGCAATGAGGTTAACTTGACTTGGAGATGGGAAAGTTAAATGGTTGCAGTCGAATACCGGTCAACTACAGCCGATTGTAGCTGAGAGCTTGCGTAATAAACCGTACCAAACGGTACCAAAAGTACGAAGTTGAATACAAATATTTATGATGGAAATAGACTTTTCAACCAAAGTAGTTGACAATGGTCCAGTGCATGTTGGATTGATGTAAATGTAATGTTTATACTTTACACGCACTGCTGAGAACCTTTGCCCAGATAGATATGAAGGATATGAATGAAATTATATTAGAAAAACTCCTTTCAAAAAATGGAGTAACGACCTCTGTAGAGCGTGAGAGCAGGCTGGAAAAGTTATTCATTTTGTGAACTCGGGATCCTAGGGACCTAGAAGGAATAGGCTAGTACTATACATTATGTATTTTTTTTTTCCTTAGCACTACAGCCCCAGTGGGCCTAGGCCTACCTCCATGAACGTCGTTCACTTCGGTTTTTCTAGATCTTACACATACGGTAGGACTCCTTGGGCGAGTGATCAGCTCGTCGCAAGGCCTCTTGCGTAGACAAACACAGAAAAACGCACACAAACATCCATGCCCTGAGCGGGATTCGAACCCACGATCCCGGCTTCCCAGCGAGCGAAGACAGTGCATGCCGGTGCATGCCTTTGCATGCCTAAGACCCCATAGACCGCTCGGCTACCGTGACCGGCATACATTATGTATTAAAGCTAGGAAAGCTAGTAGTTAACCTTTCCGACGTTTCCGACTGAGTTCTCGGCAGTGTCTGCAGCGATTTGGCAGCAATGTTCTGAATACGGAAAATGGATGGCAGCATAATGCATTTGCGACTACCACCGATATTATGTTGACCGGCATGAATAGTGTGATCCTCATCGAACCTAATGATCGATTAGGAAATTGAAATAATTGATACGAGCGATATGAGTGTCTGTTAGTAATTTGTCTATGATTTATCTATGGTGTTAAGAGAAGTGACGGACTTATGCAATTGTTGCATGTGTTGCGTGGGATGTGTTTTGTGTAGTGCAGGAGCAGTGTACTGTTCGATTTACGTTTCGAGATAGCCTAGTGAAATAAACAGCAGTGACAAACATGGGAATGTGTTTTCCTTGTTTTAAAGGTTCATCGACTGATTCAATAACACCAGATCTGGTAATGTCTGTTTCAGGCACTGTAAAACCAAAGGAAACGATCAGAAAATAGATTCGCTGCAGTAATATAATGTAACAACTTCTGTTCATTTGCATTCAGTGGACTTTCCATTATGATGCTTTTTAAGTACATGCACATGAATTCACCATGAAATACAACCTGATTGTATGTAGACTAAGCGCATTGTGTAATATCTTTGAATATTAAATATTTTTAAAAATGTTGATGCTCTAGGAAGTAAAAAGAAGACAGCAAATTGAAGCAGCAGAAAGGAGAATGCGAGAGCAAGAGACTCGAGGAATTAAGGACCCAGAAAGATTCCAACGTGAGAAAAGGAAGAAACAGGAACTTGAAAGGAGGCAAGAGGAAGCAGAAAAAAAGTATACAGGAGAGAGAGGAGGACAATTGAAGGTATTTTTTGGAAAGAATTTTTACTTTAATATCACATTAAATGGCATTATTTGCAGGGGGTTTTTTTAATGTTTCATCAGGTCGACTTTTTGTCCATCAGCATTTTTCCTGGGGGTAAAGTGTGGTCAATGTGTAAGGCTGATATCCTTACCGCTTTCTGTGAGCTGATTGTCTAGAAAATGTAGGAGCCTCAACATCTTACAACCCTATGGGCCTCCATGAGCTGTTATAGGGATACCTTTACCTTTAATAATAGTTCATCCAGAGTGACAGGATCCCCATTAACACAATTAAAGTAAAAAAAAGTAAAGGTATCCCTGTAACAGGACATGGAGGTCCATAGGGTTGTGAGATATTGAGATTCCCACATTTTCTAGACAGTTGGCTCATAGATGGCAGTAAGATTGTCAGCCTACACACCAGCCGCCCTTTACCCGCAAGAATATTCCAAGAATACTCCTAGTACTCATTTCTGTTAAGAGGCTGAGTCGACCCCAGGGCCTAGTGCAGCTGGAAGGATTAGGTAAATTGAAAAAATTCACCTCATCAGGATTTGATCCTGCGACCTTCTGGCTTGTAGCATAGTGTCTCAACCAACTGCACTACCACAATTATCTGTTATGATGATTACTCATCGTCTTTTCCATAATTCCCTGTACTGTTGTTTGCATTGGTGCAGAGGTATAGGGTTTCAGCATATTGTATCCTTTTCTGTTTTATTTCACTCTTTCATTCTCTTATAGGCTTCATTTTGACATTCATGCATGTCATATTCTGAATTCATTAAGTAATAGTCCCAATGTAGTCTGTTGATTTTGCTTATTTCTTTCTTCAGTTGTTGACCTTAATTTATATTAAACTCTGTCTGTTGCAGAATTAATTTGTAAGAATGCTCAGTATGTGTGCTTCTGTTCTTTTACTTTCTGCGCTATATCTGTATTCCGTATTTTTATTCCACAGATAGCTCATTTCCAATTGTTGTTTTATGTATTCAAGTTTTCAGAACTTAATTTGCCTCTGATGACTGATTGACATTTTTGACATACCCTGCCCAGAGTCACTATCAGTGACTACAAGCTTAAGCTTCATACCATTTTCATAATTTGTTTCCTACCTCATTAAATGAGTGCTTCTTATATCCTTGGATTATATCCTGTCTGCCTAAAACATATTTGAGTGTTTGTTATGCCTTAAGTAAGCATTCTTATGGAAGAAAAGTCCTGTGTGTTCAATGAGGTATCCAGTATGGCAGTTTTGTTTCCTGTCCTGTTTTGGGAATAGAGTCTAGTAACTTTCTAGCAAATATCTAGTAATCTGGATCCCCATCATAAGATGGTACACCCTCAAAGATGTTTGAGACAGGCAGTAGTAATGATTGTGAGTGGTGGATTGATTGACCTGTGGAAGTAGGTGTTGTGTACTCCAGTCTTTTCTTTCTTAGAAGGGTCAAGATAAACCAGTGAAACCTGGGTCAAGCCACCTGGCCTGCAGGCTGAGAATCAAATCCTAGTTCCAAATGTTCCAGAGATATCTCATCATATTCATGTTCCTTTTGTGTCAGAGAGAGAGAGAGCATGGAAATTGTGTGAAGAAAAAAATTACCACCAGTCATGCAATATTTTTTTACTGTACTAACTTTGCTGACAAGCGGCGGTTGCTCAGTTGGTATAGTTCGCTTGCAGACTACGGGCCACAAAGCTATGAGAGGCTTCATGAAACACAAACTTTATTTTCATCAAATTCTTTGAGTACTATACCCACATTGTCACCAAAAGTCACACTTAAGGTGATGGTACATATGCTTCATAGTTAGGAGGACACAGGATGAGATACCAACTATTTTGAATGAGGTTTCTCATGATTTTCTTCAGTTCCTCCAGGAAAAATGCTAGTATGATACCTAATTAGGCCACAGGAACTTCCTTTCACATCCTTTCCAATTTATTATTCACTAATCATTGCTAATTGATGCTTATACTGACAGCATCATTAAATTCACCACAAATAACTTTATTTTCTTTGAGCATTTGTTGGCTTTTGGGTATCTAAGCAGTTCCTTTTTCTATAGAATGTAAAGGCTGTACTCATGTTGGAACCTATCCTGAGCCAGTTCAGTTCACATCATCATAAACATGTTTCTCCAAAATTATATTTAACCATCCACCAAGAAGTCCTTTCACATACATTTTCCAACATTTTCATTTCATTTTCACTTCATTTGTGCTTGAAGCCTGACCAAAATAGATGCAGAGTTGAAGTTAATCTTGAAGGCTCTAATATCACTAATTTATTCATCAACCCTTCAAGTCCATTATTTTGACACACGATACCAAACTAGGCACAATTAATTTGTTTGAATTTTAAAATTTGAACTTTGACATGGATGAGAAAGCAGGCCAAGTCTGGTAGAAGAGTTGAAACCTCAATATCATAATGTACTGGTTGGTGCTCATGCTTCATATTTTGGGGGCTTCAAATTCAAAACTACGCTGGGAGGATACCTACTCTGACTGATATATTTTGTCGATTTCTTGAATTAACTGCCAGGATAGAACCTCAAAATGTTGCATGACTATTTCTTCTGCTTCCTTCCTAGAGTATATAATTATGATCATTCAGTAATTTAGCACTATATAATGCACGTGGTTGAGAACGCATTATTAAATAACAGTAATAATAAAACAGTAGTACAACTGTGACAGATAATACCCTTATTTGCATTTCTTTTATAGTGGCAAGTTGAATGAACATTCAACAGACAGATCTTGGTGCCTCTGGATGTGGTGTCTGTGTATTCGGTGGACCACGGTGAACATTCTGTGACATACTTACATGGAGGGTACTTCACAGCACAGAATGTATCAGTATCTGAATGTTCTGCATACACTGATGATGGTCATAATTTTTGTTAAATATTTATTTTCCTGCACACCTTAAGCATGTATAAGAATAATGTAATATATTTTTGGGATAGTAAAATGGTATTTCTTGCTGAATCTGAGAAGGCTTCTCAGTGCAGTTACAGGTTTTCTCAATACTGTGTCTCTTTCTGAACAGCAGAGAGTTTCTCCCTCTCTCTCTCTCTCTCTCTCTCTTTTTTTTTTGCATAAAAGATAATTTTCTGTCCTTCAACTCTCCACTGTACTTGTTTTTCCACCTTGATTGCCTCCTTATACATGTTCAGTGACCCATCTCTTTCATAGTGCCACATCTCTCTTTCCCAAAAACAGCAATCGTCAATGATGTGATGCCATGCCATAATTCAGGCAGTTAGACGCTGGCTTCTTACTGTAGATTCTTGGGTTCAGTCCCAGGTGACTTCATGTGAAATTTATGATGGATGAAATGGCACTGTAGCAATTTTTTTCTTCTGCTTTCCCCTGCAGATCATTTCACTGATGCCACACACTTATCTATCACCACCCCTGAGGTATACTTATAGCCTTGACCAGACAGCACATTATCACATCTTTGGTCTTTAATGCAGAATGAACAGGGTAAGTTATATATCTAGAAGCTAAATTTACAGAAGGAGGCATATACCTGTGATGTGATTGTTCTCTGTAATTTTAATGATTATTTATGATTTGGACAGTTGTCATTCAGTTCCTCAAAGTAAAGGGAGTTCTTTCTTCATGACTGTCCAGACTACCTGTGTAGCTTACCTTATATACTCGTACTTTGCCTAGAACTTTTTTGAGAGTGTCAAACATTTAGTAGACAGCCTTAAAAATTAAAGACCTTGTGTGTTCAGCAAGATCTCAGATGTGATTTCAGTTCCCATTGTACATTGAAAATAGAGTTTAGTAAATTTCTAATGATGTTTAACAGTCTACTTAGCTATGTGATGATGATGGATAGATGTTTTTAACTGACATTACACCATAGCATGGGGCCACGTAGTAGTATAGTTGTTTGATGCACTATGGTACAAGCCAGAAGGTCATGGGTTTGAGTCCCAATGAGGTGGATTTCTTCAATTTACCTAATCCTTCCAGCCACACTGGTCCTGGGTTCAGCTCAACCTCATACAGAAATGAATACCAGGAATCTTCCTAGGGGGTAAAGGGCTGCTGGCACATAAGGCTGACAACCTTACTGCTATCTGTGAGCTGAATGCCTAGAGAAAATTTGGGAGCCTCGACATTTCACAACCCTATGGGTTTTCACAGCCTGTTAGAGGGATAGCTTTTATTTTGTTACACTACAGCATGGACAATTGAGTTAATTGAGCAAGAGCCAGGTATATATGACAAATGCCACCCAGTCTATGCTAGGTGGGACAAAATATATTTGGCTTGGGAAAGAGTTTCTCATGAAACAAAGGAGTCTGAATCCAAGTTAAGTTCTTTCGAAACAACATAAGTGCCTCAGTTTAAATTGTCACAAAAGAACAGATGCACCCAATGTTTTATTTTCGTAATATTGTATTTAAGCATCCTGTTGCATTAATATATCATTTACTTCACATATATTTCCATCTTAAATACAACTTATTATATAGTCACCCTTCTCCCACATTACATGGTTCGACTATATATGGACATCATGAAGTGTCTTCTATATTGCTAAAATTGTTGCAGTGTGTGTCAAAATTTCATATTGCATGTGAACGTGATATTTCCTGATTAAAATAAACTGACCTTAATTAAAACAAATTAATTAACATCCCAATATTTTCCTTGTGTTTGTCATCCTCTCTCTTCATGTCGTCTCAGCTGGTCTCAACTACCACCATATTATGACAGGATCAGTATTATTATCTGCCACTGCAGAAGGTAAGTGCACGAAATTAAGAAATACAATCATGCATTATGTCGGATGAACATAACCACTTAAGAGGATATGAGCAACTACTCAAACATAAGTTTCCTCAGTTTGTGCCTGCCAATCTGGAAACCAGTTGCCTGCTGAAAATTGGCCACATTTCTCTGAAATTGCGGTTGCTAATTTCCTTGATGTGCCCTCATCCTAAGAGTGTTTAAAAGAATTTCATGGTGATCAGCAAAAATTGAATGGCTGAACTTGTGAAACTGACAATGCCAACTGGTGAAGGTGTATATAATTTTCATGATGGTGGTTGAAATTTTATTGATATATCACAACAAGCATATCACTCATGAAGGTGGATGAACAAAATAATTTCTTTCTTCCTTTCCCTTATTCCTTTTGTACCTTTATTTCCTAGTTCCCTATGATCTTTTTCCTGTCCTTTCATTTATCCATCCTATTCTAATTCCTCTCGTCCTTCTCCTTCATACCAAATCAGTTCCCAGCCACTATTCTTCTATTCCTCTTTCTCTTCATCCCCTCCACTTCTCTGTTCAGTATTCCTTCCTGTCCCTTATATTTGCCCATCTTATTGTCTCCTTCCTTCTATTCCTTCATATTACAACATTATGGGATGCATGGAACCTTCCATTCATAGCCTTGTCTAAATCATATTTCATTACAAATCAGTAAGACTATGGCTGAAAATCGGAACTTTTATTGAAATCTCCTCATATCAAATTTCAAGAAAATCTGTCCAGCGGTTTATAGGATGATAATAGGTGGTAGCCACATATATATGTAACTTCCACACGAGGCCCTCCACTTGCCTACTTTGGAAGAAAGCTTTGAAATGGGTGAATTCCTCAGCATAGGTAAGGTAATCAGCCAATGTACAGTAACTGACTTGTCCTATATCATGTAACAATGATCTATAGAGATGAAATAAATAAAAATAAAGCTATCCCTGTAACAGGCAGTGAAGGCCCATAGGGTTGTGAGAGGATTCCACATTTCCTCTGGACAATTGGCTCACAGATGGCCCTTTACCCCCCAGGAAGATTACTGGGCATACTGCCTAATTTACTCATTTCTGTTGGTGGCTGAGTTGACCCCAGGACCATAGTGCGACTTGAAGGATTAGGTCAATTGGAAAAAAAAACAATCTTTTGGGACGTGAACTTGCGACCTTCCGGCTTGTAGCATGTGACCCCCAACCCCAGCAGAGGTAATTTGCTTTTCATTCTGACTCATAAAAAGGCAAAGTCCCTGTGTTCAACGAATTAAGCACTGCGCCATCAAGGCATATGTGGGAGTGGATTCATACTTTTAGGAAAAGCTCCTAGATATATTGTTACTCAGAGAAACCTCTCCCGGAAGAAGAATGTGGCATGTAGTCATATGTGTGCCTTTATACATACATATATAAACCTGATTTCGCGTAGCTTGTAATGATCGAAATCTCTGGATTGCCTGTAGTCCGCCGAGGATTCGAAGCAGATACGTACCGAATACTGGCATGGCCTAGGCCTTTTTTGTATTTACAAAATAATACAGAATTGATCTGTGGACAGTCGTAGCTCCGATATGTAGAAATTAGTAATGCTTTGTAGTTAATATTCCATGGCGGATGGCATTTTGATAAATTGCGGGCGACCACATTGGCTGCATGGTCTCAAACTGTTGTTGGTTTGGTTGCAGTTAGGGAGGGGTGACCGGGGGAGACGTATAGTTTCCGTGGTGTGTTCCCGCCCTTGACGGTTAAACCGCAGGAAGTATATAGAAGGTTGGTGATCCATGGTATAATTAGGCAACGGATAAGGCAGAGCAGGCAGAGGGTGTGTCGTGGTAAGTTTCTGTTTATCTTAAATACAAATAGCGATTATTTAGTTTATATCGCGTGCGTATTTAAATATTTAAAAGTGAGTAGGTGTTCGACGTACGGATAACATATTACTTCACAATGAATGTTTCAGCAATACGATACGGTTTCTTAATCGGTCAAAGGCTGTGAAATGTGAGACATTGAATTAGTCATACGTTGAAAGATAGAATGTTTTACTTGGTAGGCTGGAATTTCCGTGTCATTGTAGGTATTTACAGTTTAATTTTTCTGAAATATTTTATTTCGAAAGTAATATTCCATATGCTTTCATATTTTTCTTTGGGCCCTCTTTCCAATAGATGGTTTAACCCTGATTTTTTTTAGCGTATTGAGACCTTATAATCGAGAGGCATGTGGAAGGCAAGTGCTGGGATAAAGCTAGACGTCTCTAATGGCAATGATGATGACTGGGAAACGGACCCAGACTTTGTGAATGATGTAACAGAGCAGGAGCAACGATGGGGCTCACGCACAGTGGAGGGCTCTGGACGCACCGCTGGTGCTATTGAGTAAGTTCTAGATTTATATGTCATTTAGCTCTTTCAACCCAACTATCTATGACTTCAGAATTTCACAGTTTTGCCTTTATGTTGTGGGAATGTGAATGACAGTAGACAGAAGTATGAATCCTAAGAGGTCAAAGTTCAATTTCCTGCTCTTTACTTTCTGGTTACTTGTGTAGAATGTCCTACCACAATTCAGGGCAAAATAATGATATAAAGATTACTAACAGATGTTTTGTAAATATGTCACAGTTCAGGTGTTTGGGAATGACTGTAACAAAGCAAAACCTGATTGAGGAGTAAATTAAGAAGAGATTGAATTCAGGTAATGCTTGCTACCATTCAGGCCAGAAACATATACAAACATACAAAACTATGATTTTGCCTATGGTTCTGAATGGGTGTGAAACTTGGCGTCTGACGGGAGGAACATAGACTGAGGATGTTTGAGAACAGGGTGCTGAGGAGAATATTTTGACTGAAGAGAGATGAAGTGACGGGAGGTTGGAGAAAACTGCATAGTGGGGAGCTTCATAACTTTTACTCTTCACTAAGTATAATTAGAATGATAAGTCAAGGTGGATGAGATGGGCAGGGCATGTAGCATGAATGGGGAGGAGGAGGAGAAGAAGAAGAAGAAGAAGAATGCAAATACGATATTGGTAGAAAAGCCAGAAGGAAAGAGACCACTAGAGAGATAAAGATGTAGATGGGTGGAGAATATTAAGCTGGATCTTGGAGCGATAGAGTGGGATGGTGTGAACTGGATTGATCTGGCTCAGGATAGGGGCCAGTGGAGAGCTCTTGCAAATATGGGAATGAACCTTCAGGTTCTATAAAATGCTGGTAAGTTCTTGAGTAGCTGCACAATTCATGGCTTCTTAAGAAGGGCTCAGCTCCATGAGCTAGTGATCACAGATTGTCCTTGTCAGTCCTTACTCCAGTTTCATTCCAAGCTGAATGTATTCTGGAAACACTCAAGTATATAGATATGATATGTGGTTTGGTTATACTGCAGAATGTGTCACTGCACTGCAGTCTATGGTAATTTTCAAAGAAGAGGACAATGAAGATAGAGAAGAGTGAAGATTGTTGTGTTGGTAGTGGCAGTAGCAGCAAGAGAACATACAAAAAAAGGAGGAAATTGTGAAAGGGGTGGGGGGACAGGGAAGATGAAAAAGAAGAGGGGAAAAACAGTAAGGATGTAGAGGAAGGAAATTAAGAGAAAAGAAAGAGGGGGAAGTAGGGGAGACAATGTTAAGGGTAATAAGATTGTGGAGGAGGACAAGATATAAAAATAACTCAGGTAAAATGTTCAGTAGTTGATATAATATTGGTAAATACCACAAATGTGTCTTGACTTGCTTGAAGATAAAGTTTTCTTTGTCTAGGCATCATGACATGAATATGTAGAGACGACATGGATAGTACCACTGTTTTTATATTTTTGCAGTATGAAGAAGCTACGAGAGGAAACTGCTGAAGCAGATGCCATTTTAAAGCAGAAACAGTTGGAGGAAGGTCCTAAAGCTGCATTTGGCTATGGAGGGAAATTTGGTGTGCAGACAGACAGGTTGGTGTTCTTCCAGGCTTGCCAAAGTGCCAGCTGATGTGTATAGTCCAGGAAGAAATTGGGAGCTGAATGCTTTAATAGATATTTTATGCATTTAGCATTTTGGATGCAGTTAACACAACTAGTAAAATCCAAAAATTTTGTAGTGGCAATAACAAGGTCCACCACTGGACGTGATCCTGAAACTGTTCCATTTAATTCTCATTCCCACAAGATGTTTCCATTTAGGATTCATCTTAATGTTATCCTCCCATCCATATCTTGGTCATTCGAGGGACTGTTTTCAAAGAGGTTTTCATACCAAAACTATATATGTATTTCTTGTCTCCCCATGTGCAGTAAGCTGTGCTGTGTAGCTTAGATATTGTAATTTATCTGCCCGATTAATTTTATCATGTAAAATGTTCTGTGACCTGTCAAGACAGTAGTACTGTGTATGTTACTGTTTCCAGGATGGATCAGTCAGCTGTGGGGCATGATTATGTGGCAAAGGTGGAGAAACATGAGTCACAGCGAGATTATAGCACTGGTTTTGGAGGCAAGTTTGGTGTTCAGAGTGACAGACAGGACAAGGTTTGTGAGATTTCAGGTTATTATGTGGTGAATATGAAGATTTCTGTCCTCTAATATGTGATGCCATGCCATTTTGTGTGTGTGAGTTAGTTTACAACCCAGTCACTGAGTTTGTAGTGTCAGATGGTTGGATGACTGATGAATTGGAAAGGATTTGGAAGGAAGCAGTCAGCACCATTTTAAGGTAGTATATCACTATTTGTCTGGAGGGTCTGAAGAAGATCATGTACAATTTGTCAGGATAGTAGGTGTCCCAGCTGAGATTCAAGTCAAGTCCGGAGCATTACTATTAGACTGACTTGTTTGGTGATGCCGTATGGTCAGGTAAGAATTTACCAGTGTTTTGAAGGAATCTGTGCTTCCATTTTTGATATAGAAGATAGAACAGGGCCGAAAAACATCCCATTTTCTTTAACTGTTAGAAATATGTTTGAATTCAAGATTTTGCTGCAAACTGTTCAAGAAACACTGATTTTTGGCAGTGATAAAGTATAAAATAATGAAGGAAAGGCATTCCTCTGTCTCCAGGCTGTGTAGCTATTAGATAATGAGATTTGCATTTCACAGAGTGCAGAAGATTGGGAGTACAGGGAGAAGATAGAGAAGCATGGCTCTCAGCGTGACTACAGTAGTGGATTTGGTGGAAAGTATGGTGTGCAAGTGGATCGCCAGGATAAGTCTGCTGTTGGCTGGGACCATGTTGAGAAACTTGAGAAGCACGAATCACAGAAAGGTAAGGTCATCTTCACTACCAATTTGTTACTCTTGTGTTCATGTGGTTAAGATAAAAATTATAACTGATCTCTGAATTTTTTTTAGTATCCAAAATAAATTTGTACTGGTGTCAGTAGAAGTAAATGTGAAGTGTTTCAATCTCTGTAGGCAGAAATACTAAAAATATTTGGATTTTATTGAAGCAGCAGCAATTTTCATTTCATTTGATATTTTTTACTGGGTTGGGTTCAGATTATGCCAAAGGTTTTGGTGGCAAATATGGCATACAGACGGATCGCCAGGACCGTTCAGCTGTTGGCTGGGACCACGTTGAGAAGACTGAGAAACATGCAAGCCAGAAAGGTAACACGCTGAGAACAGCTTGGCGTGGGGTGTAGGTTGTGGGGTATGATGCATGTCCTGTGCACTTTGTCTAACACGCACTGGGTGTGGACTGTATCGTTACATGTGTTCAGCAGTGACATAATTTTGGTTCTTCTGTGTAGTGTCATTTAGTGTTTAACACACTGTATCTTTGCTTCTCTACAGAAATTTTTACGTGCTTTCCTTCTACAAACTCCATTTTAATTTTGAGTGTGTTGAGGTGGTTGGAGAGGACAGATTTTGATATCGAAGTCAGATTCATGATATAGGAGGTGATTAACTTTTAGTGATCATGCATCACTATTACAGTGCATGTGCCCAATCTAGCATGCCAAATGTTAACATTTTTTTTTTCAGTAAAAATACTAGATTTTCACTGCTGTAGATCAGGAAGATTTAAAGTCACCTATTCCAATGTGAGGAACTGATAAAATAAGCATGGGGTTTGAAATCTATGTCACCTGATTATGAAGGTTAAAAATGAGTTGAGAGGCTGACACAAGTGATAATGCTTCAGACTTATATGTAGGAAATGACCATTTTCAATCCCAGTCAGGTCACCAGCTGTCATGAATGAGGTTTTCCATGGTTTCCTCAGTCCTTCCAGGCAAGTGCCAGGCTAAAACCTCTAGCTGGACCACAACTGCTTACTTCCGTAACCTTTCCATATCTTCAGTCATTTATCAACCTACTATTTGATGCCATATATCTACTGATTGTGGCTAGTGTAAGTAACACAGTTCAGAATCACACAAGATGAGTACTTCAAGTCTGGAGTCAGCTTGAAAGCAGCATATTTGAATAGACAAGATTATTTGGGAGGACAGTATTAAAATGAACAATATGACATAGGATATAATAATGAGAATTAACTTGAGCTGGCTGGGAATGGGATCACGTCGTAGATGAGGGTTTCTTACTGCAAAGAATTATTGTTTCATAATATTATGCAGCCCCACAGTATGGGCATTGAAGTTACACATTTCTTTTTTAATTCCACAACAGCCACTTGTACTCTAATGTAAATTTTTGTTCCCTAATGTTGTGCAGCCCCACAATATGGACATTCAGAGTTGAGAATTTTGCCCTTAACAGAAATTAGAGAATGTGACCATAAATAAAGTTCACAAAACTTTTAATTCCACAACAGCCATTTGTACTGTAATGTAATATTTTCACCCCATAATATTGCACAGTCCCATAATATAGACATTCAGGTTACAAAAATTTGCCTTTACAGAAACTATAAAACATGGCCATAAATAAGTTCACAAAACTTTTAATTCCACAACAGCCAGTTGTACTGTAATGTGAGGGAGAACCACATCTAAACATCTGGATTGTGACTGAAAAATGATAATGGTTTTGCTGTAAGGTATGGTGGTGTGTGCCATAAAAGGTTGTCAGCAGGTAAATAATATCACTTTCACATAATGTTGCACCTGTTGTGTTAGCATCTAGAAGTCTGTTTATGATATTTCATTTGAGGCTTCATAAGACATGGCACATAGAATGAAATTATCGCTGTAGTTCGTGCATCATAAATAAGCAGTAGCTTGTCTTCTTGTGCTAATAAGAACACAGCATCTGCATGTAAGGCCTTACAAGTTGAGTCAGACTGGCAAAAATTACTCCATTCACATGAGGTGTTTTCAGTAGCAGCTTGATAATTTTCACAGGTAAACAGCATGAGAAAGTTTGGCATCTTGCACTCTCTTTTTCGAGTTTGCTAGCTGCAATTCAAGTTAAGATACAGGTATGGGATTTTGAACATGTAGGCGTCAAGAATGAAAATATAACTTTCGGCACATTCACAATGAAAAGTTGCAAAAATGTGCTAGTTTAGCCATGTCTGTCAGTCTTCATGTATCAACTGTGGAATTGCTTAATGGATTTTCATGAAATTTGACATTTGGGAGTTGACTAAAATTTGTTTGACACACACCACTAATACATAGCTCACCACAGATATTTGCAGTAGTCTGTTTAAAATAGTAGTACATACTCTTCTAGGAGTCATTTAACTGAATAAGTTGGCTTAACCAGTAATGCTTCTGACTTGTATTTGTAAGATGAGTAGTTTGAATGAATCTTAGCCAGGACATTGATTACTCTGACAGGTTTTCTTGTGGTTTTCCTCACTCCCCCCAGGCAAATGCTGGAATAATATTGTCGCGTGTTGCCAATGTAATGCAACAAATAAATTCATACAGGTCTCGGATTTGGCAAATATGTTTATTGAACACTCACTTTTACACTAGCGAGTACAATTATTATCACTTTCAGTATCAAAACTGCTGCTTCTGCTATAGTCAAAGCCAAACTGAACTGTTCTCAGCAACTTCTAGAACTCAGCTGTCAACTCAGTTCACCTCAACTGTGTGCTCCATTTGAAGCTGGACTTTTATAACCTGGTCTTGGATGGAATATAGCGCACCATGTAGGAGCCTTTGGTCTCGGCCACTGTCATGCAACGAACCCTCTGTTGTCCTTTTATCTCCATGGAAATGCGTTTGTTGCTTAAGGTACTCCTAGGCAACAGCCCACTGATATTGCGTTTCCATGGAAGTATACTTCTGGATTCCCGGCATGTGACAATATCTTGAAATAGACCACAACCACTTCCTTCCATATACTTTCCAGTTCATAATTTAATATTGATTGATTAATTGATTCTACTGTTCGATGCTGTATAATCTTAAGAACTGACAGCTTCCTTAAGTAAACCATACATAAATAAATGTACTTCATTTCAGTTTTGATGAATTTCATAATATGGAAGCTATGTTTGATGCTTAATGTGTACAAAGTAAAATGTTGGTATCTTAATATACAAACATTATTTGGAGAGAAATTCATCTGCCATGTTTATGGTTTGTTCTTGTTTTTAATTTGATTCTAAATATATTTGGTATATTATTGCACCAAAGCTCAGCTGGTTAGACAGGATGACTTTATGTGAGACGCATGGTGGGCAGAGTGGGACTGGGCAGGTTATTCTGTGGGTTTCTTTGTTTTTTCCTTGCTAATTATCCTGCCATTGCTTAATACTCTTCTATCACATGCCTACAGAGAGTTTTTGTTAAACGGGCAAATATAAATACTTTGCCTATATTCTTAAAAGAAATGATCCTTTTTAGCCAGGATTGTAGTAGAAACAGACACAGATATTGGCTGAACAGTTTATCCCTTACATGAAGAGAAGTCACCCACGTGGACATTAAAATAACAGTTGATGTGAATGTACTGAACTAACTGACTTCATGAAGATCAGTCCCTCATGAGCAGCCATTAGTTTTGCAGCTACTCAAGAACTTCCGAAAAAATTTATGGAAGCTGAAGGTTCATTACTGTGTTCACAAGAGGCCTCCACTGGTCCCCGTCCTGAGCCAGATCAATCCAGGCCATACCACCCCTCTAGGATCCCTATTTACGTTATCCATCCACCAACAAAATGTTCTGGATTGAATTCAGTCTCCTCTTAATTCCCTCCTGAATCAAATTTTGATTTGTTACTGTCATTCTGAAATATTTTATCTGTGCCACATTTTCAGAGGATCTGTTAGCTCTCTTTGTCATGATTTTGCCCTGCATTCTGGTGATGAGACAACAATATATACTGTGTTTTTCTTTGAGATACCTGTGTTATCTCCCAGTAGATTCATATCTTAGCATAGACCAGCAGCCGATGTGTCCCATTTAATTTGTCCCACCCGGTTTTCCTGGACCATCCTAATGTCATATTGGGGTGTATAGACCCATTGCTGGGCAGAGACCTGGAAATGGACAAGTACAGATGTTGCTATGCAACAGGCAGATAAACAAACACCTGTTTCTAAGCAGTGGTCAGTAAACACATTCATGTTCTCGCGGAAATGATATCCTGTCTGTTACTAGGCAGTTGCCCATGACAACAACAGAAGGATTGCTGGAGGTAGTATTTTTTGTTGGGACCAGCCCAAGGTTGTATAATGAGGACACCAGCCTAGCTGTAGGCAGTTCAGTTAGGAGGTGTCAGCAGCTCAGTTGAGTGAAGTGATGTGAAGTAGCTGGTTGGTAAGCAAGAGAGTTCAGTTGAAAGTCAGGCTGTGAAGATAAGATTAGGAAGTTGATATGAAATGGCCACCAGCCTGGGATCCAGTTGGTTGTGTTGTCAGTTGACAAGAGGACCTGAACGCAGGAAGCTAAAGAATCTTGTAAGATTTGAGGCTTTCACGGCGGTGACTATGAAGAAAGCAGTCTTCTGGGATTTGGCACCGTGTATATGTGGTGTTAACCGACGTTTCGGAGGAATGTATCGCCTCCATCTTCAGGGTAGAAGAAAAAGTATAAGAAATCTGCAAGCGACAAGACCGTGAGAACGGTAAAAGCAGTAAAACGGTAAAAGGAGGCGATACGTTCCTCCGAAACGTCGGTTAACACCACATATACACGGTGCCAAATCCCAGAAGACTGCTTTCTTTCTAAAGAATCTTGCTCGGTAGAAGCAGCTAGTCGAGACTGCAATAGACTGAGGACACTAGTCAGTGTGTGTCAGTGGTCTGTAAAGTGTAGTTCTGTGTGGTTAATAAATCGATTCACCAGTCCATTCCCTGTCTATGGTCACATATCCCATATACACGTGATGATATTCTAAAGCGAAGTTGAAAACAGTGGTGATAAAGCATCTCCTTGTTTTAGACCATTCTGGATGGAAAATTATCAGACAAATGTTTTGCCTGTATGAACATTACTATACATTTTAATCAGCCTAACTTGGGTTTCTTGGGTACCCCAAATTCTATGAGAATACTGTACGATACTTCCCTCCTACTGAATCATAGGGTTTCTTGAAGTGCGTCAATAGCTGATGTACTGTCTTATTATACTCCAATTTTCTCCAGTATTTAACGAATGCAAAAGATCTGATCAGTAGTTGATCTGTTACATCAAAACCTACGCTGATGATACCCAATAATTTCATCTACCATTAAGGGTTA